CGTCGTTGAGCTGTGCGCAGTGGTCGGCCTGAGCTGAGTTGTGGGGCGGACTGTTGTGCGACGAGGTGTGCCCTAAGAGGGGTGCACTGTCGCAGTCACGCTGGGCCGTGTCGCCTGGTGGTGTCGTGCCGTCACGATCCTGAGTATCGATGCCGTCCTGGCTATCGTCCGACGCGTGGAACGAGTCCATGGATATGTTGCCAATATCGCTGGCCGCGATGTGCTGGAGCAGCCATGATACGGGATCATCTGCGGCCTGATCACCCGTGGCGTGCTGGGCGAGGCCAGCTGGCGGTGGTGGGTTTGGCGGTTCCATCGGTGCCGCGGCGAGCTCCGCCTCGACAAGCGGCAGCATGTCTGGCGGTTGGTGCAGGATCACGTCGGCGAGGTACGCCATGGCGTCTTGGTCGGGTGGAGGGAGGCCTCTTTGCAGCAAAGCATGGGCCCGTGAGAGGTATGGCGGCAAAGGTGCCGTGAAAGCCTCAGGACCGACGAGCGTGGCACGAGCGCCCTGGTATTCCAGAAGGAGGCCAAAGTAGCGGGTGGCGTACTCGCGGCTGCTCTGGATACGCGTGAGGTTGCGGTTGATGCGCTGCCTGTCGGGGCCCGCTCTGTGCCAGATGTCCTCGCACATGTCGACCGCGGTGCGCTGGCGCAGGGCGTCGGTTGTGTCCTCAGACTCCTCCTGAAAGAGGTGATCGTACTGTGGCAGATGAAGCGTCGCCAGGATGTACGGGACGCAGTCCTCGAGCCATGCCCAGAACATGTCCTGGTTGTCCTCACCTGGTGCCCACGCCGCAGCACGCGGTATGAGCCGGGCGCGGATCATCATCAGGTGCCAGAAAGCAGGGTCCTCCTCGGGTTCGCCCCTAGCGCACAGGGGGGTGGTGAGACCCGTGGGGCAATAGCGGGGCACGACAGCGGGGCTGAAGCCGCCACTGTGTGCCTGGCCTATATCAACGTCCCCGTCAAGGATCTGCTGCACCGCAGTCGAGGCCACGCTAGGGGTGGATTTCGATGCATGTGTCGTAGTTGACAAGGGCGTGTATGCGCTCACGATGGCGCCCAGCGGTCCGTTGCCGCACGGACCCGCGGCTACGGTGCTGTTCACGATCGGATCCAAAATGGTGCAGTGATCGTACTTGTAGATGCTGTCATCGTAGAGGTAGAAAAGAGTCCCACGTTCAGCGTGTCGCAGGAAAACCTCACCTCCATGCTGGGGCGCACCGCCTGAAGACGGGTGTGCTCCAGCGAGCGAGGGGAGGGCCAGGCTGCAGGCAAGACGCCACATGATGGCGAGGCCTGGCGGGCGGCGCGAGCGATGAGCCAAAAGCTGCATGTCAGCACGCATCCTCAGATACCCCTGCATGCTCATGTACATTGCAACAAACACACCCACAGCAAGATGACAGGTGTCCCTACACCAGATAGCTTGCTCGTGCTGCTGCCAAAACTGACATGATATGACAAGGAAGAGATACGACGCGAAGAGAGAAGAGATGCCTCTGAAGGCGCTTCCTCGGAGGGCTGAGGCAGGCTCTCTGAGGCCCCTTCAATAGGGTTCCTGAGTGGCCCGACCCTTGTCTTTGCCTTTGTCAGCCCCTGGGGGCCCCGTCCCTGGGGTGACCTGGCCTGGCTGGTCAATCCACCCGCAGACAGCCACGGGATCGGCAACTGATGCAGCTTCCTCCTTTATTGTTTCGAGAGTGGCCACCTGTGGCAGGTGGATGGTGCCCCCCGTGAGGTGCCCGAGGAGGGCCTGGATGTCGCCACGCAGTGCAGCAGCTTCGGTAGTTGCCGTCTGTTGCTGAGTGACGACGGTGGCAAGCCCTCGTTCAAAACCTGAAACGTGCTCCGTGAGTGTGGCCTGGGATGAGAGAACGCCCGCAAGCTGAACCTGCATGTTATCCACCGTGTTGGCAAGCAGCTCGTGCTGTTGTTCCATGTGTTGGATGCGGGTCGTGGCGGCATCTGACATTTTAGGGGCCGTTGCGAAGCGTTCGCCGAGGGTGTTGAGTTCGTGAGATGCCACGCTGAATTCATCACCTGATGAGAGGATCTCGACGTCGTCAGCGTCGCCTGGTACCTCGGCGGCTGTGGCAGCGCCCCCGTCCGTGTGGCCCCCGCCTTCAGCCGCCACCGTGCCAAGTTTCGGGTCATGACCACCTGATCCTTGGACGGCCGTCTGCTCGGCAGCTCCATCCGTGCCGTGCGGGGGTGCAGAGGAGCTGCGGCCTGGGGCGCCGTGTGATCTTGCGTGCGGCGTGGCGTCGCGTTTCCCACTGGAGGATCGGTGGCGCTTGGCTAAGGCTCCTCCTTGGGGATCAGGAGCGGTGCGACGCCCTTGCCTTTGGGCGTGGCAGTCATGAGGTCGTGGAGGTAAGGGCTCTGGGCCGCTTTGGTGAGTAGTGTGCCAGTGGCGGGGCTGAAGCCGCCACCACGGGCTGGCGGCGTCACAGGCTCTGTGATAGTGGTAGGGGTGACAATGGTAACGTTGTCCCTCTTCGGCGCCACCTCAGCCAGCGGGGCCTCGGTGATGCTCCACGGGATGGGGCACCCTGCGACCTGTCCCGTATATGTGGGTGGGGGACGATGGGCGCGCACTAAGGCAAACTGAGCCGAAGTGGCTGGGTCCCAGGCGGTGTGGTAGACCTCACAGTCCCATTTGACGGACGGGCCCGTGAGAGTCTAAGCGAGCTGGGTCAGCGTGGCGTGGCGTGCCGCAATGCCAGTGATGCGGTATCGCGTCTTGGCGAGGGTGGCTTCGCAGCCACGGATGCTGACGGCAGCAGCCTTGGCGGCGTCTGACCCTCGTGCAACACGGAACCCCAATAAGCCTGACTTGCCGTGCCTGACGACTCCTAGGGCCTTGAAGTCCACCGACTTCTGGAACGCATCTGCCATCGTGATGGGCTGGTCCTCAGGGACCCACACGGTCTGGTACTTGTCTGCAGTGGGCTCGTCTGCACCTACGTTGCTGAGGTCGTAGGTGGCGCCGAGTTGCCCTGAACCCGCCAAGACCTTGTCAACCGCTTGAAGACTGACGCCGAAGGTGGCAGCCAGGGACCTCTTTCCGACGCCCGATCCAAACCTGCCTAGGCTTTTGCAGGGTTCGAGGATGGTGACGGCTTTTAAGTTGCCGTGGAAGAGGGCCTTGAAGGTGTCCTGAAGCTGACTATCGAGCTCCTGGCGGCGAGCGTCTTTCTTGGACTCCCTGTGCTTTTGGTTTTGGCGCGCCTTGTCCTGTGGTCGGAGTCCCTTCGGAAAGGACCCTTGGCGCGTGGACCACCGTTCACGGGGGCACCTCCCGAGAACTGATCCTCGAAGGCCTGATGCATGGACGGGACTGCGGCGATGGCCTCGGTTTCATGTATGGTCACCCGAATCCAGCATACGTGGTCGGCAGGATCGATGGTGGCGACGGCTACTTTTTCCGTGCATGCGACTTCCTTGGTGCCCAGCTGGTACACGGTCACGGGGACGTGCGTGTGGACCACTTTGGGCGCCTTGGGGTGACGCTTCAGCTCGGGGACGGCGAGCTCGGTACCGACGTAGTTATCGTTTTTTGGGCCCATGACAGCAATCGCAAGCTGACCCGTGGTACGCTTACCCTGCACGAGGTGGTGTTGCAGCAGCCGTTCTCCGCTCTCGTTGTCGTGGAGGCTGATACTGGGCTTGTACGTCTTGCCGTCGTCAAGTGATGTGGGTTCGGCGAGGACTGGGACCTTCCAGAAGGCCGGGTCCAAGGCAATGAATTGGGCGTCCGCAGCCTGAAGACGTGCGGACGCAGCTGGTGGGTGTGATGTGTCACCACCAATGCGCTTAGGCTTGCTGCGCTGGTGGTGAACCAGCGTGTAGCTGATCTGGTTGGCGGCACACATGCGGATCAAGGCACTGCCGAGCTTCTTTGTGTTGGTCTTGTGCATGTCGTACGTGGCCTGAAGCTCGTCCGCGCTCAGCTCGGCAAGCCCGTTGTATGCGGCCGTGGGGCGGTCAGACCCCGCTTGCTTGAAAGCTGCGATGCAGTCCTGCTTGCGTTGGAGGAGAGACCCTTCAGCAGCAGGACGTGAGCTCTGGGGCTGCTTGGAAGAGCGACGGCGCTCCGGCTTACTGGGGGCCATTGCTGCGGGCGCTCTGGTGGGGAGAGGTGACGCGAATCAGTAGGGCCCTGCTGGGACCCCTCCGGTCTCGCGAGGCCTGGGAGTCTGACTCCGAGGCGGGGCGCTTCGCGTCGCGGCTGCGGTCTGAGTGCTGGGCACTCTCGAGCCGAGACTAACGAGACAGAGAGAGAGATAGAGAGAGAGAGAGAGAGAGAGAGAGACGGAAAGAGAGAGGGAGAGAGAGAGAGAGAGAGAGAGCGAGAGAGCGAGAGAAAGAGAGGAGAGAGGAAGAGAAAAGAGATAGGAGAGAAAAAAAAAAAAAAAAAAAAAAAAAAAAAAAAAAAAAAAAAAGAGGGGGGGGGGGGGGGGGGGGGGGGGGGGGGGGAGAGAGGGGGAGAGAGGAGAGAGAGAGAGGAGAGAGAGAAGAGAGGAGAGAGAAGATAGAGAGAGAGAGAGGAGAGAGAGTAGAGAGAGGAGAGAGGGGAGAGAGGGGATCTGACACATACATATACATATGTATATATATATATGGAGAGCGATAGGAGAGAGAGGGACAACTAGGTGAGGAGCGAGAGATGAGAGAGCTATAGAGAGAGAGAGAGGTATGAGGGAGATAGGAGCGAGGGAAGAGAAAATAGAGACGAGAGAGAGAGAGAGAGAGAGAGTAGAGAGAGAGAGAGAGAGATTAGTAGAGAGATAAATGGCTTAGGAAAGAGAGCGAGAAGAAAGAGAGATAGCGTGGGAGTGGGAGTTGAGGTGGAGAGTGGGATAGAAACGATGAAAAGGAGATTTGCCAAGAATGGGTAGACGGGGATGGGATGAGGAGGGAAGGCGAAACCAGAAGATTCGGAGAGAAGCACAAGGGGCGGGGGGGGGCTAACTCGAAGAAGCGGCCTATAGTCGGCGTGGCGCGTGCCGATGAACAACCTCAAGCAGCCGCCCGAGTTCGTGGTGGTCAAGGCCACCAAGGACTCCAGCATGCTGGTGGCCCAATGGGACGATGACTTCACGTGGGAGGTCTCGGGGATATGAAGGCCTAAACGTAGTTTGAACAAGTGTTTCTGGAGGAGGTGGGTGGATGTGGGGGAGGGGGGAAACCGGGCATTGTTTTAAGGTAGCGAAGCAAGGAGGAGCAGGAGGACGCAACGAAGCCCGAGAAGCGGGATCGAAAGGGAGGAGGAGAAGGAGGAGGAGTAGGAGGGAGGAGGAGGATGAGGAGGGATAGGAGGAGGAGAATGACAAGTTGATCAGGGAGGTGGTTGGTGAGACTGTAGAGGGGAGTGCGGGGCTCCGCGAAGCGCCAGGCCCCCGGCACGAAGCATGACGACATCGAGCCGCAGGCCCCTAGCAAGAAGGACAACAGCGTGTGGAAGGGGACCTTGCATGATAAGCAGGTGAGTCTGAACTGGGTCACTCGGGGCGGTCAGAACGAGCTTCTGCGGGCTGCTCACAATGGCCAACTACTTCAGCTCACTGCGAAACAGTTCGGGTCGGCCTCAGCGGATGATGCAATTCGGTTTCTAATGGGATTGCTGAAACAAATATTGCAGGGAGGAGATGGCTAAACCCGAACTCGAGGCATCGAAGCAAAAATGGATAAGACAACACGCCCTAGCCTTGGAGAGCAAACCTGGAGTTAGAAAGCGTCCTGCTGCAGCCCCGCTGGGAAGTCCCATGAAACGCCCAGCAACCGAGGCCAAGAAGAAGAACCACAAGAAAAAGGACGAGGATGATGAGGATGAGGAGGCCGCCGACGCCGACGGCGACCCCGACGCTGAGGGCGCCAAGATGGAGCCAGGGGAGGAAGAGGAGGACGAGGAGGAAGAGGAGGAGGAGGCGGAGGACGAGATCGAGCAGTCGAGCGATGATGGGGACGACGAGCCGCTGACCAAGAAGAAACCAGCGGTGGTGGTGGCGGCCTCTCCGACGACAACCCCACGGTCGGCACCCATGGCAGCAACGGCCCCAGCGACGGCAGCATCAACGGCAGCGGGCACGGCCACGGTAGAGAAGACGAAGATCCTGCACGCGATGCTGAGCTCGTACGTGCCCAGGCCCCGCGCACCCCCAGTGCTCACCCCGACTGGCATCTGGGAGGACCAGCAAGAGGCCGCGGACACGTCGAACGAGTTGCCAGAAATGGGCGCGATCCTGATTGATCCGTGGGACATTGTCTAGATAGCTTAGGACTGCTCAATTGCAGTAGAGCGCATGCGCCGGTTCTTAGGGCGCATTTTGACAAGCTTTGAGCACGGATGCGGGCTCGGAGACGCAGTGATTTCTGGGAGCTCTGTTGGGCCATATTTCAGAGCAAAAAATCAAGGTTGCTAGCGCGATCGGTTCGAACCTCGATGGGTCACCCTCGGGCTCACTGCCGTCGCACTCTGGGGGCCTCAGGGGGCTGCAACACATCATGCTGTAGGAGGTCTCAGGGGGGCTTCGTGGAATCATGCCTTGGGGATTCCAATTATGAGGCCGAAGACCGATGCAAAAACAAAACAAATTACGAGTATAGCGAGGCGGGCCGTCAACCCTTGCGTCGTGTGGGGGGGGGGGGTCAATTGGGCATGGGAATCTTCCGATCTGGGGTGTCTCGGTGTCGTTGGAATCTGGCGACGTTGCACGTTGGTCTGAGAACGCTGAGAACGCTCCGTCATCTCAGAACGCTCCGCTATCAAAACTATAATGGGCCCAAGGGGAAGTTGCCCGATACGGCCCACAGAGTGGTTTTCATCAGTCTCCCCTCAGTCGCACCGCCATCGCAATGGCTCTCGAGCCTGGCCCCTTCGGAACCTCTGGAACATGATGCGCGCGCCATGCCCGAGACGGCGCGGGAGAGCGCGGGCACCCAAAGGGAGTCGACAGCGCAGTCTCAGCTCGACACAGCCCCCGCCGCCCAGGCCGACGAGCTCCCGCAGATTCGGTCCATGGAAGACGAGATGAGAACGATCCGAGCTGCCAAACGTTCGCAGTGGTTGAGTAAGGGGTCCAGTAAGGAGACTCCGGGTGCAAATCGCTTGCCCGCTGCCCTACATCTAAAGTTTGCCCGCGCCCCTGCGCGCAATCATCCCATCCCCTGCAAACGTTTGGAAGTATTTCATGGCCCCCCCACCATCAAATCTTTTCAAAACGTTCGCGCGAGGAGGGCTCTGACCAAGCTGCGGAGCCAGGCGCCAACGCAGTCGCAGACCCAGGCTCCGAGACGGGCGCCATCATAGAATCGTCTCCCGAGCTCGAGGGGCAAGATTGACGACACCTGGGCGCCGATCGATCGGGGCTCGCTGAAGCTCGACGGGATCAACATCGGGAGCGACGGCTGGGCGAGGAGGCCGAGCTCGAGGCGGCCCTGAGGCTGTCGATGGAGGAGGCCGAGCGGAAGGGGATCGACCCGAACGACATTGCGGCGCGTGCCAATGCGAGAGGCTCTTCGTGGAAGCCAGGCAACTCCCCCAGGTGGGGGTGGGCAACCTACGTAGCGAAAACCTTCCCTCACCCTCTCATCCCCCCACCCATCCGTTCCCACTTGCTCCCTGCTCCCCTCGCTCCGTGTCGTCGTCGTTGCGACCAACTCCTCGTTCTGCTCATTATCATCGTGCCATGCTCCTGCTCGTGCTTCTTATGTCCTTGTCGTTGTCCTCCTCTACCTCCTCCTTCGCCTCCTCCTCCTCCTCATCATCAGCATCCTCATCCTCCCCCTCCTCCTCCTCCTGTTTCCTGTTGCCTGATGGCCATGGAATGCAGAGCACGCATCCGCTTTCCTCCTCCTCCTCATCTTCCTCCCCCTCCGCCGCCTCCTCCTCCTCATCCCCCCGTGGGGCGCTCCAAGGATTGGGTGCAGGTTGTGCAAACTTAGGCTTCCACCCAGCTCCGAAGGGCTGGCGGCAGTCGCAGCGGCGGCGCCGAGACGCCCCCGAGGCACCAGGGTGGTCGAACTCGTTCGAGGTCGAGGTCCACTTCGATCCCAGACGAGCAGGGCGCCCCTTCTCTTCCGAAGGAGCGACATGGGAGGTAACGCTGCGCACCACCTACACACGCTACCCTAGAGGCGTCATGCTCGTGTCATAGACGGGTCATCGCGATGACATGTCAATGACATGACAATGCCATATCCATCCAGATCGACCGCTGCCAGCACATTGAAAACATCAGCCCCTTGAAAATGGCTGGGGGCACGACGGAGCTGGCAATCCAGAGCTCGCGCATAAACACTGGGTGGGGCGGGCGGTGTGCGGGGGGAAATCTGTCGGGGACGACGTGCTCACGCCAGAGAAGGTGGTCGCTGCGTGCAACGCGGCGCAGGAGGCCTCCAAGAACAAGATCGAGGACACTCTGCACACGTGTAGAGAATGCTTGCTGCCCCTTATCGCCCACTGCTTGCCAATTGCTTTTCTAAGGTTCAGCGAGCGTCCCAACTTCTGATCACGTCTCCTTTGCTGATGTGTTTTGTAGTCGTCCGCTCTGCTGCTCTGCATCGTCGTCTCCTCTAGCCCTCTCTCCTGCGCACAGTCGCCAACATAGCCCCCTTACTCATCAGTCCGTATCCTCCTCCTCAATGCCCTCCTGTTCTGCGTCGTCCTCCTTCACCCCTTCTCCCACCTCCTCTTCCTCCTCATCCTCCTCCCCTCCCCTCCTTTGTCTCTCCCTCCTAATTCCTTTCCTTTCAACCTCAGCCCCTTCGGGCGAAACCTGTCGTGCGACAGTCTCCAGCAGGAGCTCTTGAGGGGCAGCGGGGTCGCCGACGAGCTGGCGGTGGCCGAGGCGATCATCGGTCTCTTCAAGTCTGCCGAGGTGGCGGAGCTGATCAAGCTCAAAGGCTTCGACAAGAAGCACGTCGTGGCGGACAAGCCCTTCCAGGACGGCGACCTCGAGGACGACCCTGCCAGGTCTGCCATGACGCCAGAGCAGGCCGCCGTGGACAACTTCTGGGAGGAGGTCACGGCGCGCGGCTTCAAGTTCGCTGCCTCGACTCGCGGCGGCAACAAGCTGGCCCCCCAGTTCGACCGCCAGAAGAGGAGCGACCCCAAACTGGCCAAGGGCTACGCGAGCTGCGGCAAGGACCCCGAGGCCCAGGCTGCGTTCAGGGCCGACTGGGCGAAGGGGAGGTACGACAAGTACCAGAAGGATAAGATGAAGGTGGTCACCCTGACCAAGAAGACCTCCACCAAGGGCGCCTACGCCCCCATCGGGCGCATCGCCCACAAGGAGGGCGGGGGCAAGCTCGGATGGCTGGAAGGGCCTGGTTCATGAAATCATCACCCCTTGCCCGTGATTATTCGCTCTCCAGTGTCTCTTCGCTCTGTGACCCTCCCGCGCCCTAGCTACATTCCTCACCCGTCCTGCCCTCCCGCCCCATTCTGGTCGATCAGCGACCTCTGCCCACGATTGATCCCCTCGTCCTCCCTCCGACAACTCAGCCCGCGCTCTCGATGACAGCTTGGGATTGGCTTCTCAGGCGTGCAAGTACATGATGAAAGCGATCCAACTTGGTCCACCGTGGGTCGCATACTGCGACATGACGGACACCAGGGCAACCCCCCCTTCGTATATGCCGAACCACTTATCCTCTGCCCTCCCTGGTTCTTCGCATCTTTCCTCAAGGTATTCAATATCTCCCCTGCCGATCCCTGCCGATCCCCGCGCCGCCCAATGGCCCGCCCAACGCCTCTCCCCCTCGGTGCCCTTCGCCCTCCCCGTTCTCATTCCAGCCCCTCCCTCCTGTCGCACTCCTGTTCTTCCCTTGCTCTCCCTCCTCTTCCCCTTCTTTCCCCCTTCCTCTCCTTCCTCTCCCCTCCTCTCCATCAGGCCCCTCATCTCCTCATTTGTATCTGTCCCACTGCGCGCCCCGAGGAGAGCCTCAGAGGCCCGTGCGTCACTCGCGGCTTCCAGGACGAGTTCGTGACCCAGTGGATCCAGCACGAGCAGCGGTGTTCGAACCCCATCGTCACCGACGAGGCGAAGGCGTCGCGGCTCCAGCAGGCCACTAAGCGTCGTGAATCATTGGGCCCTCACCCCGAATGGCGTAGCATACATAGCACATAGCACCCCGCAGTTGCGGATAAGAGTGAGGGGGCGGCGGGGCCGTCGGCAGTCTGCGAGGCTCAGAGGGAGCCAGCCGCAGGCGCCGATTTTTCAAAGTATACAACGAGCCCGCCGCAGGCGCCAATGTTTTCGTCCAAGCAGCGTAGGTGGGTCGCGGGTGCATCGCGGGATGGGTCGCCGGCAGGGTCTCGGGGTGGGTCGCGGGGCGGGTCGCGGGCGAAGGCGACGACAGCAACAACGCAACGACGCAACAACAACAACAACAACAATAACAACTGTAATAACATCGCAACAACACAACACCGCAACAACAATCCGCACAGCAGACCTCACTTCAGCCGCGCGCCCAGGGACAATAAACGATGGCTCGCCCCCCTCACTCTGATCTGTTGGCCCTCGTGGCGCCATCGTCGATGGCGCCGCGATGGCCCAGGGGGTGGGCGAACGAAAGCTCGCTGATAGCTGGAATGCTTGCTCCATTCAGCAAGGCGACCGAGCTGGCAAACAAGCACGGCGTGACGAGGACGTTCGAGACGCTGCATCAGGTGAAAGCTCGGACGCGGGGGGGGGGGGGGATCAACGGGGGGCGTCGCTGCAGCGTCGCGCTAACGGCCCAAGCGTACAGGTCCCACCGAGGCTTCGGCGAAACAGGGGTGGGCCTTCGGAGTTGTGACCACTTTCGCGACCCAGGATAACCCAGGGGCTTGCCCAAGTGACGTTGCCCATTGATGTGTTTCCTCGGCCAGGCGGGCCCACTGGCGATCGCGTCGCCGCCGCCGAAGAAGCGCACGAGGATCTCCGCCAAGTCGCCGCAGGCGACGAGCACCCCATCGAGCGCGCTCAGAAAGGGGCCCGAGAAGAGGGCCAAGGAGCAGGCCGACGAGGAGGACGAGGAGGCCGAGGAGGAGCTCGATGACGACGAGCTGAAGCAGCAGGGGCAGCCGCAGCATCAGCAGCAGCAGCAGCAGCAGCAGCTCGATGCCAGCGGCGGCCAGGAGCAGGGTCCAAAGCAGACCATGTCCCCGTCCAACTCTGTCTCCCCAACCCATCCCGACGGCAATTCGACTCTAGCCCGTTGGCGAATCGATTCGTTGTTGGATGGGGGACGCCCTCGCCAACAACGAATCGCTTCGCAGAAA